GTTTGTTGAGTGTCTGTTTGCTGAGTGTGTCTGTGTGTGTCTGTGTATTGAGTGTGTCTGTGTGTTGAGTGTGTCTGTTTGTTGAGTGTCTGTTTGCTGAGTGTGTCTGTGTGTTGAGTGTGTCTGTTTGTTGAGTGTGTCTGTTTGTTGAGTGTCTGTTTGTTGAGTGTGTCTGTGTGTTGAGTGTGTCTGTGTGTTGAGTGTGTCTGTGTGTTGAGTGTGTCTGTGTGTTGAGTGTGTCTGTGTGTTGAGTGTGCCTGTGTGTTGAGTGTGTCTGTGTGTTGAGTGTCTGTTTGCTGAGTGTGTCTGTGTGTTGAGTGTGTCTGTGTGTTGAGTGTGTCTGTTTGTTGAGTGTGTCTGTTTGTTGAGTGTGTCTGTGTGTTGAGTGTGTCTGTGTGTTGAGTGTGTCTGTGTGTTCAGTGTGTCTGTTTGTTGAGTGTGTCTGTGTGTTGAGTGTGTCTGTGTGCTGAGTGTGTCTGTGTGTTGAGTGTGTCTGTGTGCTGAGTGTGTCTGTGTGTTGAGTGTGTCTGTGTGCTGAGTGTGTCTGTGTGTTGAGTGTGTCTGTTTGTTGAGTGTGTCTGTGTGTTGAGTGTGTCTGTGTGCTGAGTGTGTCTGTGTGCTGAGTGTGTCTGTGTGTTGAGTGTGTCTGTGTGCTGAGTGTGTCTGTGTGCTGAGTGTGTCTGTGTGTTGAGTGTGTCTGTGTGCTGAGTGTGTCTGTGTGTTGAGTGTGTCTGTTTGTTGAGTGTGTCTGTGTGTTGAGTGTGTCTGTGTGCTGAGTGTGTCTGTGTGTTGAGTGTGTCTGTGTGTTCAGTGTGTCTGTTTGTTGAGTGTGTCTGTGTGTTGAGTGTGTCTGTGTGCTGAGTGTGTCTGTGTGTTGAGTGTGTCTGTGTGCTGAGTGTGTCTGTGTGTTGAGTGTGTCTGTTTGTTGAGTGTGTCTGTGTGTTGAGTGTGTCTGTTTGTTGAGTGTGTCTGTGTGTTGAGTGTGTCTGTGTGCTGAGTGTGTCTGTGTGTTGAGTGTGTCTGTGTGCTGAGTGTGTCTGTGTGTTGAGTGTGTCTGTGTGCTGAGTGTGTCTGTGTGTTGAGTGTGTCTGTGTGCTGAGTGTGTCTGTTTGTTGAGTGTGTCTGTGTGTTGAGTGTGTCTGTGTGCTGAGTGTGTCTGTGTGTTGAGTGTGTCTGTGTGTTGAGTGTCTGTTTGCTGAGTGTTTCTGTGTGTTGAGTGTGTCTGTGTGTTGAGTGTGTCTGTGTGTTGAGTGTGTCTGTGTGCTGAGTGTGTCTGTGTGTTGAGTGTGTCTGTGTGTTGAGTGTGTCTGTGTGTTGAGTGTGTCTGTGTGCTGAGTGTGTCTGTGTGTTGAGTGTGTCTGTGTGCTGAGTGTGTCTGTTTGTTGAGTGTCTGTTTGCTGAGTGTGTCTGTGTGTGTCTGTGTGTTGAGTGTGTCTGTGTGTTGAGTGTGTCTGTTTGTTGAGTGTCTGTTTGCTGAGTGTGTCTGTGTGTTGAGTGTGTCTGTTTGTTGAGTGTGTCTGTTTGTTGAGTGTCTGTTTGTTGAGTGTGTCTGTGTGTTGAGTGTGTCTGTGTGTTGAGTGTGTCTGTGTGTTGAGTGTGTCTGTGTGTTGAGTGTGTCTGTGTGTTGAGTGTGCCTGTGTGTTGAGTGTGTCTGTGTGTTGAGTGTCTGTTTGCTGAGTGTGTCTGTGTGTTGAGTGTGTCTGTGTGTTGAGTGTGTCTGTTTGTTGAGTGTGTCTGTTTGTTGAGTGTGTCTGTGTGTTGAGTGTGTATGTGTGTTGAGTGTGTCTGTTTGTTGAGTGTGTCTGTGTGTTGAGTATGTATGTGTGTTGAGTGTGTCTGTGTGTTGAGTGTGTTTGTTTGCTGAGTGTGTCTGTGTGTTGAGTGTGTATGTGTGTTGAGTGTGTCTGTGTGTTGAGTGTATCTGTGTGTTGAGTGTGTCTGTTTGTTGAGTGTGTCTGTGTGTTGAGTGTGTCTGTGTGCTGAGTGTGTCTGTGTGTTGAGTGTGTATGTGTGTTGAGTGTGTCTGTGTGTTGAGTGTGTCTGTTTGTTGAGTGTGACTGTGTGTTGAGTGTGTCTGTGTGTTGAGTGTCTGTTTGCTGAGTGTGTCTGTGTGTGTCTGTGTGTTGAGTGTGTCTGTGTGTGTCTGTGTGTTGAGTGTGTCTGTGTGTTGAGTGTGTCTGTTTGTTGAGTGTGACTGTGTGTTGAGTGTGTCTGTGTGTTGAGTGTGTCTGTGTGTTGAGTGTGTCTGTGCGTTGAGTGTGTCTGTGTGTTGAGTGTGCTTGTGCACCACCACTCCAAACACAGCAGCAGCATCGCCAGATAACGGCTTGAATCTGAAACTGATGAATGCCTCCGCGAGAATCCGACGCCACCTCTCATGATTGCCACGATGCAACGACAACTTCCCACCCACCCACCCCGCACCTCCGATTAGCACGGTGGCTACGTACGGTGCAAAATAAGTTCAACATACATACAAGTGGTTCCATCGCTCCGTCTCTTCGGCCGACGTCCTCTCGGACACGTTACAATCCTTGCCTTTCATTATGTTTGTTTTTTTACTTTAACTTTTATTTTAATTTTACCAGGTAAGGCCCACTGAGCCTTATGTAGGTCTTTCTCAGAAGCGACCTGGCCATCGCGAATGATAGCTCAACGAAGTGGCTTATCGTCATTTGGAAATGTTAAAGCAGTCAAATACTCTGCGCGCACGTGGATTCTAAATGTGTGGGCAAAACCCAGAGGACCCGGAGATAAATCCACGCGAACACGGGGAGAGAGTCACCCAAACTCCAAATATACAGCGGCAGGCGTCAAGGTCGGGATCGAGCCCACGAACCTCCTGCACACCGGGCGAGGGAGTTAACATCTCGCCACCCGTGACGGAATCAAGTCATGGGGTCACCGCTACGAACTAAAAAAAAACTAATTCCGAAAATCAGAATTGGGTCAAATAACTTAGGGCGTGGCGGGCGTTGGTTGGTTTCACTTAGAGGAACGACTCAGCCTGGAACGCTCCGCTGCACGCCAGGTCCCGCACGAGACGCTTACAAAATGCAGTATTCCCATGATCAGTGAACCGAGTAATTCGCCTCCCGTGGAGTGTGACCCGAAAGCCGGCGAATGCCCGTCACGTGTTGCCCGTACAAGAATATTGCATCCAGCTGAGCGCAGCAGGGAGGAGGGTGCGTGTGATTGATTGCGCTGTGAGAGCGGAAGAGGAACGCACGGATTAGGGAGCATACGCTGCGCAGAGACATCAGCTTGACCGTTCAGAGAAGTAAGCGGGGCTTAAGCAGAACGTGTCGTTGATGGCCGATGGTCAAGACTAACAATCGATTGGCAGTCAAAGGAGGGAACGCATCCCCGTGGGGGGGGGGGGGGGGGGGGGGGGGAGGTGCTGTAACGTCGATCTAGGAGATTGAGCGATGAAATATCAGCCTGCAGGTGCGATGTGCATTGTTGCATCGCAAGACCGTGCGTGGGAGAAGGCGACGACTTGGGGAGACATGGGTGGCAATGAGTGACATCTGAAGGTTGCCACTTCGAATCCTGGTCTGGAGATTGTCGGGATGGATAGAATTGCAATCACTTTGTGGGGAAGTCGATCGTTCGGTTGTCCTTTAGATGGCATGGTCACCTGCCAAACGAATGTGGAATTTTCACCACGGGCTCAGGGCTATGACCCCCCACTTCTTGTTAAACATTTCCGTCCGATTGTTTGAACGACTCTGACCCATTACATAATATACCGCGTGCGTTTACGCGTTGTCGTCAAATTAGGAACACGTGGATTCGAGAACATACGCCATATTCGTACAAGCTATGGCAAAGACAATTGTATAGCCTTAACAGACTACAAGGGAAAGTGCTGAGCACCTATGAAGTCCGGAACGGTACACGAGCGGGTGGGTGACTGCCTTTGTATCTCTCGTGGCGATGCTTACACACCGCACCAGGTGCTCATATGAGGCTGAGTAGACCTAGGGGAGGCTCAGGCCCGGTTCAGATAATGGCCACCGGTGTTTGCCGTGAGCGGGCATCGAACTCGGGTCGCCGGAATCGTAGCGCAGCTTGCTAACCGCTACACTAACAATCCCCGACATACACACATGCATGCACACACACACTCGTACATTCGTGTATGATTTCGCTTAGGTCTGCAGTGATGATTCAAACGCGCGAGGGGGGAGGGGGACGGCAGTCGGGGGGGGGGGCATTCGTCTTGACCTGGTGTCGAACTCGGGTCTGTGCTCAATGGAGCAGCTCGCTCGCACCGCAGAGCCGTTCGCCATCGGCGCGCCTGCATCACGGGGCGGTGACGTCTCGCCAGGGGGGTTTATAAACGGCGTGCTCGAGTGCTGCCCGGCGCGAGTTAGCGAGGGGGGAGAGCGAGGAGCGAGCGAGGGAGGAGAGCGAGGGGGAGAGTGGGATTCGCTGGGGCTGCGTCCGTTTAGCCCCCCTCGCCACCCCCATCGAACTCACCACCCCAAGTGTCGAACTTCACTCGGCCGGTGTTCGCGTTCGCGCGTACGTCTCTGCGCGCGCGCGTGTCCTCTGCGCGTCGATTTGTCGAGCACATCGCTTGATAATTAGTGCATTAATGTATTATATTCCTGGAAGTATAGATTATTTATGTACAGTACTTATTGATTTGACGACGTGCGTGTGTGTAAAACAGTGGCCAATATTTTAACCTTTCCCGAGCCCTCACCTAGGTCGACTCAGCCTTTAAATGAGTACCTGGAGCGGTGCATTTAAAAAAAAACCCATCAGCAACTTCAGGAGAGAGATAGACACAGAAAGACAAATGCGGCCGAGCGTGGTGCTGACCACCCACCCACCTCCGAATCGTGTGCCATGCCGGCCTTCATAGGTGATTTCTAAACAGCACTTGACCGAGCAGTTTGTTTAAGAAACACGAAGCAGCAGCTAAACGTGGGGAATCTTTGTCTTTGTGTACGTGAATAATAACATTCTTCCGTGGCTGTATAGGCACCATGAGTTTCAGCATTGAGAGCATCTTGTCTCGTCGTTCGCGGTGCGCCCTCGCTGGCTATGGATTCCTGGGCTCGGTCATCCCCGCCGGAGGTCCGGGCTTCTCCTGCACCTCCTCAATATCCTCATCATCATCATCATCAGTAGCAGCAGCATTATCCTCATCACAATCATCATCGTCGTCGTCGTCAGCGTCCTATCCACTCGGCGCGCAGGCGGCGGCCGCCGTCGAGATGCTGCCCGCGCCGAGCGTCGCTCTGGCGCAGAGTTTCGGTGCCGGGTTCGCATCTGCGACCGGGGCCCCTTTCTGCCCCGCGGGCTACAGGCGGGCGGTCGCTGCCCCCGGGGCGCTGTGCTGCCCTCCGGGCCTGAACCCGCTCGCGCACCTGCCCTTCTCTAAATGCACGTGCGGCATCTCGACAGGTACCACCACCGCTAGCAACACACGCGTACACACACACACGTATACTCACATGCGCACACACGTACACACACACACACGCATACTCACATGCATACACACACGTACACACACGAATACGTAAACACACATACATACACGTATACACACGTACACACACGTACACACACGTATACTCACATGCGCACACACGTACACACACGAACACGTATACACACATACATACACACACGTACACACACGTACAGTCTTAACAGACTGTTGGGGCAAGTGCTGTTAGCGAGCACCTATGAAGGCCTGAACGGCACACGAGGGGGTGGGTGGCCAGCACCACGCCCGACCGTCTTTGTCTCCCCAGTGGCGATGTTTACATACCACACCGGGTACTCATTGGAGGCTGAGTCGACCTAGGGGAGGTCCAAGACCGGTTCACATACTGGTCACTGGCGTTGGCCGTGAGAGGAAATCGAACTCGTGTCGCCGGGTTCGTAGCGCGGCGTAGCGCTACCCGCTACACTTCCACTCCCAACACACTCACACACGTACACACACATAAAACAATAACACACGACATTCGCCACTAAGTAACGGCGACGTCACCACGGCGTGAAGTGTCGAAGGCTCGCTGGCAGGAGGTCACGGGACAGACCCAGGTGCCATGGGTTGACTGCATGAGCTGACTGGCAGAGATGCGCCAGCTGCCAACTTGCTGTATTTTACCCGTCCGGCGCTCCGCTCGTTGTTGTGAGCGTCGCTCTTCTGCCCTCCGTTGTTGTTGGAGGGCGACTGCCTCCAACTGCCCGGTATGGTCCTTGACACCGCCGGTACCAGTCGTGGGCAAGTCCACTCAGCTCTCCAGTCCGTATCGCGCCCGTTTAGCCCCCGTCTATGCGGGCTACGTGACCCACAAAGACAAATATCCCCCGTTTAGCCTGAACAGGCTGTTGGGGCAAGTGCTGTTAGCGAGCACCTATAAAGGCCGGCACGGTTCAGGAAGAGGGGGGGGGGGGTCAGCACCACGCCCGACCGCCTTTGTCTCTCCAGTGGCGATGTTTACACATCACACCAGCTACTCATTTGAGGCTGAGTTGACCTAGGGGAGGCCCAGGACTACTTCAGATCATTGCCACTGGTGTTCGCCCTGAGAGGGAATCGAACTCGTGTCGCCGGATTAGTAGTGCAGCGCGCTAACCGCTACGCCACCGCTCCCTTAACACACACAATGCGCACACACACACGTGCAGACACGTGTACACGTGTGTGTGGTGACACATGCGAGCACACATACATATACTATAAAGGTAAAGGCGAATTTCCCCGTGTGAACTAAGTAGAGTAATGGAGCAAGTGTTCTCTGTGGGGTAGCCCCGAGTCTTACACACCCACGTAACTACTGAAATCCCATGTGTTGCAGAGGTTGTGTTGTTTGTATATGTGGGTGACTTTATTATTGTATAGTTCTTTGTGTGTTTATGTATTTGTATGAGTGTCTCTGTGTCTGTGTGTCTCGCTGTGTGTGTATATGTCTGTGGTCGTGTGTATTTCCGTACTGTGTATCTCTCTGTCTCTTTGTCGTCGTTTTTCTGTTTGTCTTTGTGTTCATTTGTTGTGCAAATTTGACCCGGACATCCTCCTCGCAGACACCGGTCTAACCAGCAACCGCATCGGGACACCATCAACACGCATCTCCTTCGTGAATGGAACATCAAAGACAAGCGCACAGTAGCGCTGCTCGGGCAATGGATTAGAGTTTACCCACAGAGACTCACGGATATGCGGAGATACTCGTGGAGACGCACAGAGACACACAGAGATACACTGTGGTCGTGTGTATTTTATTATTGTAGACTCTGCACAGAAAACATTGAGTTACATTCAAGACACGAACCACACCGGTGCGATTGCGGCCATGCAATCCAAACGATGCACTGCAGAGTAAACTCACTGTGGTCTGCGCGCTCCTTCAACGGAGGAGGAGGAACAGAAAAAAACCACGCGAACTCTTCACTCCAGAAAGCCCTCTCGTCGTGGCCGGCAGAGCTCGACATTGACGTCGAGCTCCTGGACACGATTGCTGCCACAATACGCAAGGAAATAAAGCGTGCGCGTGTGTCTGTCTGTGTGTGCATCTGTGCGTGTCACTGTGTGTCGCTGTGTATGTGTCTTCCGTGTGTCTCATTGTCTGTATATGCGTCTGTGTGTGTCCGTCAATTGTGATTGTCGGGGTTTGTCTGCATCTGTTTGCGTGTGGTCTCTGTGTGTACCGCGTGTACCGTTCCGGCCTTCATAGGTGCTCGCTAACAGCACTTGCCCCCAACAGTCTGTTAAGGCTATACGGGGGATCTTTGTCTTTGGCTGCATGGGGAGCGATGCGCTACGAAGCTGGCGACCCGGGTTCGATTCCCACTCACGACCAACGCCAGTGACGATTATATGAACCGATCCTGGGCCTCCCTTATGTCAACTCAGCCTCAAATGAGTACCGGGGGGGGGGGGGGGAGTCTCTGAGGCGACGGAGATGACGCGCTGTCGCGTGCGTCACAAAGGCGCCACGTGACGGTTGACCGCGACGCGTGGCGCGCGCGAAAACGCGAGCCACGCGTCGCGGCAGACCGCGAAGCCACGGCTGTTGGCCACGTACGGCACGAAAGAAGTTCAACGCTAGTGCGTGCGCGCGCGTGCGCGTGACTTCAATGCCACCGCGCGCGGACTTACAGACAGCCGAGCCAGACAGAGGCGCGTGTGCGTACGCAATGTCCCGCGGATGCTCCGGGTGGGCAGAGAGAACGTACACGATGGTCAGGGTAGACACAAAACATTTATGAAGGCAGGCAGGGCACACGAGGGGCTGGGTGGCCAACACAACGCCCGGCCGCCTTTGTCTCCCCACTGCTGATGTTTAACACGCGGCACCAGGTATGAATTTTAAATCTGAGTCTACCTAGGTGACGATATTCGGCACCGTTGTTGGCCGTGAGCGGGAATTGAACTTCAAAGAGACAAAGATCCCCCGTATAGCCTTAACAGATTGTTGGGGGAAGTATTGTTAGCGAGCACCTATTAAGCCCGGCACGGCACACGGCAGCGGTGGTGTGGCAAGTGCCACACTCGGCCGCCAATGCTTCCGAGTGCCAGTTTTCACACCTCACCAAATACCAATTTAATTCCGAGCTCACCGAGGGGAGATCCAGGACCGGTTAAAAATACGACTCGCCGGGGATTCTCGCCGCGTGCCGGGAATCGAACTCGGGTGGACAGGGTTCACGACGTGATCCGTTTACCTCTCAGCTGTCAAACGCCTCCATCAGCTTGCAGCCCGTTGTCAATCCCCTGCTGGATGAAGGCTTCCACCCCATCGCCACGTCGTTCGAGCGTTACTTCACCACGCGGGTCAGAAGCTGGCTAGTGGAGGGTAAGGTCGTGGGTCCCTTAACGCTTCACGGATTAATCGTCACTGATGCTGGCCTCAGCGGAGAATCGGACTCAGGCGGCGGGGTGTTTGGTTCATCGCGCCGCGCTCTCACCGCTGCGCCAACGCTCCACCACTACTCAGCGTCGCGGGGTTGAACAATGACTGAGTGGTTCGGATGTGACACGTGGTTCAGAGACACGGAGAGTAATGAACGAAATCTACGGAACAAGCACTGCAAAGTGCGCAAAGACGCCGGCGGAGAAGCTCTCCTGGAATGACATTGAGGGACAGGAAGAGAAACCGCGTGGATTAGAGAACGCGGGCTGGTGAATGACGTCGGTCTGGCTCAGGGGTGGGCAACCTGCTGCCCTTTAAGGACTGCAGTCTTTGACAAAAGACGGCTCTTCTTGTTATTTTGGTGGCCGTGCCCTGACCATGGAAGTCCAGTTCACCACGGAAGTCAAGTTCACCATGGAAGTCCAGTTCACCACGGAAGTCCAGTTCACCATAGAAATCTAGTTCAACATGGAAGTCAAGTTCACCATGGAAGTCCAGTTCACCACGGAAGTCCAGTTCACCATGGAAGTCAAGTTCACCACAGAAGTCAAGATCACCATGGAAGTCCAGTTCACCACGGAAGTCCAGTTCACCATGGAAGTCCAGTTCACCACGGAAGTCAAGATCACCATGGAAGTCCAGTTCACCACGGAAGTCCAGTTCACCATGGAAGTCCAGTTCAGCACGAAAGTCAAGTTCACCACGGAAGTCAAGTACACCATGGAAGTCCAGTTCACCACGGAAGTCCAGTTCACCACGGAAGTCCAGTTCACCACGGAAGTCCAGTTCACCATGGAAGTCCAGTTCACCATGGAAGTCCAGTTCACCACGGAAGTCCAGTTCACCATGGAAGTCCAGTTCACCACGGAAGTCAAGTTCACCATAGAAGTCCAGTTCACCATGGAAATCTAATTCAACATGGAAGTCAAGTTCACCATGGAAGTCCAGTTCACCACAGAAGTCCAGTTCACCACGGATGTCCAGTTCACCACGAAAATTCCAGTTCACCACGGAAGTCCAGTTCACCATGGAAGTCCAGTTCACCACGGAAGTCCAGTTCACCACGGAAGTCCAGTTCACCAGGGAAGTCAAGTTCACCATGGAAGTCCAGTTCACCATGGAAGTCCAGTTCACCATGGAAGTCCAGTTGACCACGGAAGTTCAGTTCACCATGGAAGTCCAGTTCACCATGGAAGTCCAGTTCACCATGGAAATCTAGTTCAACATGGAAGTCAAGTTCACCATGGAAGTCCAGTTCACCACAGAAGTCCAGTTCACCACGGAAGTCAAGTACACCATGGAAGTCCAGTTCACCACGGAAGTTCAGTTCACCACGGAAGTCCAGTTCACCACGGAAGTCCAGTTCACCACGGAAGTCAAGTTCACCATGGAAGTCCAGTTCACCACGGAAGTTCAGTTCACCACAGAAGTCCAGTTCACCACGGAAGTCCAGTTCACCATGGAAGTCCAGTTCACCATGGAAGTCCAGTTGACCACGGAAGTTCAGTTCACCATGGAAGTCCAGTTCACCAC